TTTTTATCTCATGGCACACTTGAACCTATAGTTAAACTTCCATGGTACACTTAAATTATGTTGATCCAAAAAATGAATAAAAATGCTTTGAACTTCTTTTAAAAAGAATTTAATGATCTTTAAAATTTTTCTTGACACATCTAAAACCCTCTCTTGACACACTGGTTGAAAATCATTGGTCTAAGCTCAGCGCCTGTGGCTCAAGTGGCTAAGGCGCCAGCCACATATACCTAAGGTGGCGGGTTCAAATCCAGCCCAGGCCGCCAAACAACAATGATGGCTGCAACTAAAAAATAGCCAGGTGTTGTGGTGGGCGCCTGTGGTCCCAGCCTCTTGGGAGGCTGAGGCAGGAGACTCGCTTGAGCCCAGGAGTTGGAGGTTGCTGTGAGCTGTGATGCCGCAGCACTCTACCTAGGGGGACAGTTTGAGGCTCTGTCCCAAAAAAAAAAAAAAAAAATCATTGGTCTAGAGAGTGGCACACCTGGAAGCTCTCCTAAAGGGGTGAGGGGCCCAGCAAGACCCAAACTACATGGCCCTGCAACCCTCTGATTTCTATCTGTATACATCAGTGCTTCCCAATCAGGATGATTTGATGATCTCTGGCAACATTTTTTTGCTTATCCCAGGTGCTACTAGCATCTGATGAGTGAAGGTCAAGGATACTGCTCAGCTTCTACAGGGTACAACACCTGCCTATTACACAGAATGGTTAAATCCCAGAAGTCCTGTAGACACTCAGGAGAACCAATGTCAACAAGCAGGGCATGGGACAGCAGCCAGCCAACAGCTACCAGCCAAAGACCAGTTCCCAGGTTTAATCAGACCCTCTAGAGACTTTCTGAAAACTTGGCAGTTCAGGGCCAGGCGCAGAGCTCATGCCTTTAATCCTAGCGCTCCGGGAGGCTGAGGTAAGAGGATTGCTGGAGGCCAGGAGTCCAAGACCAGCCTAGGCAACTCAATAAGACTCCATCTCTACAAAAATTTAAAAACTAGCCAGGTGTGGTGGTACATAGTCCCAAATACTCAGTACGATAAATCCAGAGGATGGCTTGAGCCCAGGAGTTTGAGGTTGTTGTGAACTATAATCAAATCACTGCATTCTAGCCTGGGCAACAGAGCAAGACTCTGTCTCAAAAAAAAAAAAAAAAAGGGCGGGGGGTACTCAGCAGGGCCTATGGAGATACCTCACCAAGCCCCCAGTTGCCACCGAACACTGAATGGACTAAGGGACTCCCCTCTTCTCTGTAAGGGGCTGAGTCACCTCTTGGGGGTCCCCTCGTAACCATTTTCCTGCTTGCCTGTTGCCTCTAGGTCTCAAGCCCCTTCTGTTGACTTGTCCCATGACCTAATCATCTTGAGGAGTGTGACCACACATGGGCCCAGACATGGCCACCATCCTGGCTTCAAGCTCTGCCTGAGGCCTTCTGCCTCTAAACAGAGTCATTCTCCAAGGAAGCATCTGGACCTTGTACAATCGGATGCTTTTTCATAGGGGCTCCTCCCTTCAGGCTACTGAACAAAAGCCTCACATCTTAACCCAATAGGGCTGCTCTAAGGAAATACATTCACTGGTCACCAACAGTAGGGATGTGTTCTGAGAAATCCATAGCTTGGTTATTTCATGGTCATGTGAACATCACAGCAGGCACTTACACAAACCTAGATAGTAGAGGCTACTACACCCTAGGCTGTGTGGGAGAGCCCATTGTTCCTGGGCTGCAAACCTGTATATGTACAGTGTATTATTGTCCTGAATGCAGTTGTAACATAATGTAAGTGTTTGTATGTCTAAACATAGAAAAGGTATTGTCAAAATACAGTATTGTAATCCTTTTTTTCTCTGTTTTAAGAGGCAAGGCTTCCATCCGTTGCCCAGCTGGAGTTCACTGGTACAATTATAGCGCACTGCTGACCTGGACTCAAGCGATCCTCTCACCTCAGCCTCCTCAGTAACTGGGACTATAGGTGTGCACCATCATTCATGCCTGGTTAACTTTCCTATATTTTGAAGAGATAAAAGTCTCACTGTGTTGCTCAGACTGGTCTCAAACTCCTAGGCTTAAGCCATCTTCTACATTGGCCTTCCAAAGTGGGTAGGATTACAGATGTGAGACACCATACCCAGCTCAATATTAGAATCTTACAGGACCCACCACCATAGACACAGTCCATTTTTTTGTTTGTTTGTTTTTTTGAGACAGAGCCTCAAGCTGTGCTCCTGGGTAGAGTGCTGTGGCATCACAGCTCACAGCAACCTCCAACTCCTGGGCTCAAGCAAGTCTCCTGCCTCCACCTCCCAAGTAGCTGGGACCACAGGCACCCGCCACAATGCCCGGCTATTTTTTGGTTGCAGCCATCGTTGTTTGGCGGCCCGGACTGGATTCGAACCCACCACCTTAGGTATATGTGGCTGGCGCCTTAGCCACTTGAGCCACAAGCACTGAGCCTGCAGTTCGTTTTTGACCGAAACTTTATTTACTTTTTTTTTTTTAGAGACAGTCTCACTTTGTTGTCCTCAGTAGAGTGCTGTGGCATCACAGCTCACAGCAACCTCCAGCTCTTGGGCTTAAGCTATTCTCTTGCCTCAGCCTCCTGAGTAGCTGGGACTACAGGTGCCCACCACAGCACCCAGCTATTTTTTGTTGCAGTTTGGCTGGGGCTGGGTTCAAACCCGCCACCCTTGGTATATGGGGCCAGTGCCGTACTCACTGAGCCGTGGGCTTTGCCCATTGACCAAAACTTTATTATGTGACACATAACTACCACATAACTGGGTGAGTAAAGCAAAAGAAGTGTCTTTCTCACAGTTCTGAAAGGTGAGAAGTCCAAGATCAAGGTACTGGCGGATTCAGTGCTCTATAAGGGCCCATTTTCTTTTTTGTAGATGACATTTTATTTTTTTGTGTCCTAACATGGTGGCAGGAGTGAAGTAGCTCTTTGGGGTCTTTTATAAGGGCACTGGGCTGGGCATGGTAATCCTGGCCTACAATCCTAGCACTTTTGGAGACTGAGGCAGGAAGATTGCTTGAGACCAGGAATTGGAGACTAGCCTGAGCAAGAGTGAGACCACATCTCTGCAAAAAATAGAAATATTAACCAGGCATGGTTGCACAGTCCTGTAGTCCCACCTACCAAGGAGTCTGAGATAGATGGATCATTTGAGCTCAGGAGTTTGAGGCTGTAGTGAGCTGTGATGATGCCACTGCACTCCAACCTGAACAACAGAGCAAGACCCTATCTCAAAAACAAAAAAACAAGGGCACTGATCCCCTTGACAAAGGCTCTACCCTCTGACCTCATCGCCTCCCAGAGGCAGCTCATCCCGATCCTGTTACCCTAGGGGTGAGATTTCAACATAAGAAGTTTGGAGGGTACACAAACATGACCTCTGTATAACAACCTATATCCATCTGGGCAGCGCTGGCCCCATATACTGAGGGTGGCAGGTTTGAACCCAGCCCCGGTCAAACTGCAACAACCAAAAAATAGCCGGGTGTTGTGGCAGGCGCCTGTAGTCCCAGCTACTTGGGAGGCTGAGGCAAGAGAATCACCTAAGCCCAAAAGCTGGAGGTTGCTGTGAGCTGTGACGCCATAGTACTCTACCGAGGCAACAAAGTAAGACTCTGTCTCTAATTAAAAAAAAAAACAAAAAACCTGTATCCATCTCCTGTGGAAGGAAACCTTCAGGAAAATCCCATCTTCTCTCAGTGTTGTCTACCAGTTTCTGACTCAGCTACGTGCTCGGTGGCCATCCCCCTATAACAGGACCTTGTCACTGGCCTTGCCACCTCCTTCCCACTGTGGCCTTGCTTTCTTTCAGTTTGCCTGGACAACTTGGCCTCTTGAACAGGAACATAGCTGCTACCAAACTTCCCTTTCCGTGCGTGACTCTGGGGCATGTCCCCACTGTACCCTCACCCACCATGTACCCCTTCCTCAGTCTCTGGGGCCACAGGGTTTGAACAGTGGAACACCAGGCCTCAGAACTAGCTCTTCCTCATCTGCTGGGCCCCACAGCCCTCACCTCGTTTTCTGTCTCCCCCTACTCCCATAGCTCTCCATAGTGCCACTCCACATCCTCTTGGGGTGTTCATCCCACTCCTGGTACCATCGCTGCCCCAAGTTCCTCCAAGGCTACATCTTAATCCCTCTGAGGCAGTGCTTCCTTCCTGGGAAGCAGACACCCCAGGAACCTAATCAGGAAGAGAGTATTCTCTGTCTTCGTCTGAGTGATGGTTATACAGAAAGCCCAACAGGGAACCCCAGCAAGCTGCATACTCCATGCACTGTGTACACTTTACTGCACATAAGCATGCCTTGGTACAGGGTGAAAAGTTGTCTTGTGAAAAAAAGCATGAAGTGTAGTGGTTCTGCCTATAATCCCAGCACTCTGGGAGGCTGAGATGGAAGGATTGCTTGAGCTCAGGAGTTGGAAACCAGCCTGACCAAGAGCCAGACCCCATCTCTACTAAAAATAAAACAATTACCAAGGCGTAGTTGCATGCACTGTAGTCCCAGCTACTCGGGAGGCTGAGGCAAGAGGATAGCTTGAGCCCAGGACTTTGAGGTTGGTGTGAGCTGGGCTGAAGCTATGGCACTCTAGCCTCGGTGACAGAGTGAGACTGTCTTCAAAAACAAGGGCAGGAAGCACTGACACCTGCTACAACTACAATGTGGATAAAGCTCAGTAACATGATGCTGGGAGCCACATGCACAAAAGGTCACACAGTATGTGATTCCATTGATAGGAATGTCTAGAACAGGCGTATTCACAGTGACAGGGCAGATTAGTGGCTGCCAGGGCTTGCAGGAGGAGGTGGAGTGGGGAGTGACTGCTAATGTGGGTGGAGTTTCCTTTTGGGGGGATGAAAATATTCTGGAACCCAACAGAGGTGACCATTGCACAGCATTGTGAATGTGCTAAATGCCACTGAACTGTCTACTTTAAGGCGGTGAATTATACGTTATGTTCTATCCCAGTTTTTAAAAAGTGCTCCATTGTGCTTACTTCAGCAGCACATTTACTAAAATTGGAACCATACAGAGATTAGCATGGCCCCTGCGCAAGGATGATATGCAAATTCGTGAAGCATTTCTGTATCTTTATGAAGGCAGTAGATGAGCTAATACAAGGGGTGGAGCAGGAGAATGAGAGCTAGGGGAGGAAGATGGGGAGATACGGTGTATGACATACCTCTTGGGGGTGGGACACAATTATAAGCGGGTCTTTATCTTTAAAAAAAAAAAAAAAGTGTTTCGTGAAACTGCTTGTCTTTTTGCCAAACTGTGGGGCTCCTCTGACATGAACCTGACCCCCATCAGCCCCCTTTAGGTGCCCAGCAGAAAGCCTGGAGTCCAGATCAGTCCAGTGGCTCCCAGCTCTTCCACAAAAGGGCCACACAGTCAATATTCTCATCTCTGTGGACCAGATGGTCTCTGTTGCAGCACAAATGAATAGGGCTGGTGTGTTCCAATAAAACTTCATTTATGGAGCGGAACATGGTAGCTCACGCCTATAATCCTAGCACTCTGGGAGGCCAAGGGAGGTGGATTATCTGAGCTTGAGATCCCATCTCTAAAATAGCCAAGCATTGTGGCAGGCACCTGTATTCCCAGCTACTCGAGAGGCTGAGGCAGGAGAATCATTGAGCCCAGGAGTTTGAGGTTTCTGTGAGCTATGATGCCATGGCACTCTAATAGGGGGACAAAATGAGACTCTGTCTAAAAAAAAAAAAAAA